ATGATGCTTTCAATTGTTTTTTTTCCCTTTTTTTCTTGCTTTAAATTTTCCCCCTTCTACTTCCGGAGCCCATACACAAAAACTGACCTCACCCTTTCTTCCCCCACTGCATTCCCGTTATCCCTCATTTAATTTTGGTTTTCCTCCACTGCAGCTTTCCTTTTATCAGTTTCACTGGTAATGTATTTGGGGTCTGGCCGTCATTTTCCCTTCTCGGGTTTCTTGGGGCCGTTGTTTTGTTAGGGCCCCCCACAAAAGTTAGCTCTTTCATTTGTACAGTCTCCCTGATAGAGTCTTTTCCCTGCAGTTGTGCCCCTTCTTTCCCCACAGTCCCCTTGTTTTTGGCTGAAAGGGAGCAGCTCTGTTGTCAATCCCAAAATGTTTTTTTCTTTTTGGCTGTTTCAGAATTTTCAAATTTCCCCTTTTAAATCTGTATCCTAGCTTCTGCTGCTTTTTACATGCACCCCCACTTCCTGCTTTTCCCAACTTCCTCCTTCCATTCTCATGCTAAGTTCTTCTAGTTTCTTTTCCCATTCATGAAAACCCCTTTTTTGACCTGCGCCCAAACTTCCTTTTCAGTTTTCCCCCCCTGTCCCTTGGTTTTTCTTGTTTCCCGGCCCCCCATTTTTTTTTCCTATTGCCTCGATGGGAAACCTATGTATTTTGTATTTAGGTTAGTGTGTGTTGTCAGGTGTGGGGGGGAAGTAGTGGGGGGAATGGGCTACGTGGGGCGGAGGGGGGGGTGGGAGGGTTTAGGGTGAATGGGGGGGGGGGGGGGTGATCGAGGGAGGGAGGGAAGGGGGAATAGTGAGATGTCGTGGTGAGGGGGGGGGTGTATGTGTGTGTCTGGATTTTGTGTGTGGTGTTGTTGTGTTTTGTGTGTGTGTGTGTGTTTATGAGGTGTGTGCGTGTGTGTTTATGAGTTTGTTAGTTGTTGGGGTGTTGGTGTGTGGTGGTGTGGTGTGTTGGTGTGGTGTGGTGGGGTTGTGTGGTGTGTGGGTTGTTTTATGTGGTGGTTGTGTGTGTGTTGTGTTGTGGTGTGTGTGGGTTGTGTGGGTGTGGTGTGGGTGGAATTTTTAAAAATTTGTGTGTGGTGGTGTGTCCAACAATCATATTTCACCAATAACCCATCATTGTACCGGGGGTGGAAGTGTGAAATTTCTCATTACTCTATAATTTTTTCTGTTGTAGCCCTGTATAAACGTAAGTAACCATTTTTACAGATTCATTACCTTTTTAATTGTGAGTTTATTACCTTGTACCATTCAGCCATCAAAAATTTGGGGCCCCGGCCCCGGGCCCTTACTACCTCTGCAATCTGAAATACCTTTGTAATTTTCATGTTGTGACCAGACCTACCGGAGTTCATTTCCTTTGTAAATTGTGAGTTCATTACCTTTGTAAATTGTGAATTCATTACCTCTGTAACTTGCTCAGCTATCAAAACTTTGGAGTCCAGTCCCTGGACCAATTATGTACCTCTGTAATCTTTTGACTACCGCCCACAGTATGGGTATGGCGTGCATAATAAACATATTAAACTAAGAACTAACACTCAACCAGCCACGACCCAGACCACCACTCAAAAAGCCACGACCCAGACACCACTCAACCAACCAACCAGGACTGAAGTTCCTGTATAGACAAGCACAGTGTCTACCTACTGAGGCTCGCAGGACCCTATGTCTAGCCCTTATACAATGCCATATGACAATGGAAATAAGTCACTCTGTCTGACTTTTTTGGGTTATCCTAGGTTCTCTACACATATGCTGCTATGTATGATAATTCTATGTAACTGTATTTGTGTATACCTGAATAAACTTACTTACTTACTTATGCTTGCTCTTCTTGGTACTCTGCCTTGACAAAAAAAACTGAAAGATAGACTGCAAATCACCCAGAACAAAATCGTAAGATTCATCCTGGGGCTGGGACCAAGAGAACATGTAGGCCAGGATGAATTACAGCAGTTGGATATGCTGAATGTTGAAGACAGAGTAAAACAACTGAAGCTAAATCATGCTTATAAAATTGCTCGCAAACAATGTCCAGAATATCTTGCTGTCAATTTTGTCAAGGTTGGGAACCAAAGCAATCATAGTACTAGGGGGAGAGAACACAACTTTGTAGTACCCACAGTCAGTGGCCAGGCTTCAAACACCTTTTATTGTACAGAATATAAGAAATGGAACAGACTGCCCGCACATGTCAAAGCCAGTCATAGCATGAACCAGTTCAAGAAGAGTGCCAAAAGGTGTCTGATGAATGTAGCTACAGAAAGGGAGGGGAATGATTTTCTATTTTTTAGCTAACATACGTGTAAATTTTACCATATTCCTAGTAATGACCCTCGTATTGTAGATAGTCTTAATGACCTTGGTGTAGTAGATAGTCTTTATAGTATGATAATAAGATGTTATCTCCATTGTAGAATAATAAGAAAATATTATAACCTTTATATTATAATAATAAGGTAAAAGGACCCCAATGGAAATAAGTCACTCTGTCTGACTCTTTTGGGTTATCCTAGGTTCTCTACACATATGCTGCTATGTATGATAATTCTATGTAACTGTATTTGTGTATACCTGAATAAACTTACTTACTTACTTACTTACTAACCAGGACCCAGACCACCACTCAACCAGCCACGACCCATACCATCACTCAACCAGCCACGACCCAGACCATCACTCAACCAGCCACGACCCAGACCATCACTCAACCAGTCACGACCCAGACCGCCACTCAACAGGGCCACTACCCAGACCACCACTCAGAAAACCAAGACCCAGACCACCACTCAGCCAGCCACGACCCCGACCACCACTCAACCAGCCACGACCCAGACCATCACTCAACCAGCCACGAGCCAGACTACCACTCAACCAACCACGACCCAGACCACCACTCAACCAGCCGCGACCCAGACCACCACTCAACCAGCCACGACCCAGACCACCACTCAACCAGCCACGACCAAGGCCACCACTCAACCAGCCGCGACCCAGACCACCACTCAACCAGCCACGACCCAGGCTACCACTCAACCAGCCTGACCCAGACCATCACTCAGCCAGCCACGACCCAGACCACCACTCAACCAGCCACGACCCAGACCATCACTCAACCAGTCACGACCCAGACCGCCACTCAACAGGGCCACTACCCAGACCACCACTCAGAAAACCAAGACCCAGACACCACTCAGCCAGCCACGACCCCGACCACCACTCAACCAGCCACGACCCAGACCATCACTCAACAGCCACGAGCCAGACTACCACTCAACCAACCACGACCCACACCACCACTCAACCAGCCGCGACCCAGACCACCACTCAACCAGCCACGACCCAGACCACCACTCAACCAGCCACGACCCAGGCCACCACTCAACCAGCCGCGACCCAACCACCACTCAACCAGCCACGACCCAGACCACCACTCAACCAGCCACGACCCAGGCCACCACTCAACCAGCCGCGACCCAGACCACCACTCAACCAGCCACGACCCAGGCTACCACTCAACCAGCCATGACCCAGACCATCACTCAGCCAGCCACGACCCAGACCACCACTCAACCAGCCACGACCCAGACCACCACTCAACCAGCCACGACCCAAGCCACCACTCAACCAGCCACGACCAGACCACCACTCAATCAACAACGACCCAGACCACCACTCAACCAGCCACGACCCAGACTACCACTCAACCAAACACGACCCAGACCACCACTCAACCAGAGACGACCCAGACCACCACTCAACCAGCCACGACCCAGATCACTACTCAACCAGCCACGACCCAGACCACCACTCAACCAGCCACGACCCAGACCACCACTCAATCAGCACGACCCAGACCATCACTCAACGAGCCACGGCCCAGACCATCACTCAGCCAGCCACCACCCAGACCACCACTCAATCAGCCACGACCCAGACCATCACTCAACCAGCCACGACCCAGACCATCACTCAACCAGCCACCACCCAGACCATCACTCAACCAGCCACGACCCAGACCACCACTCAACCAGCCACGACCCAGACCATCACTCAACCAGCCACGACCCAGACCATCACTCAACCAGCCACGACCCAGACCATCACTCAACCAGCCACGACCCAGACCATCACTCAACCAGCCACGACCCCAGACCATCACTCAACCAGCCACGACCCAGACCATCACTCAACCAGCCACGACCCAGACCATCACTCAACCAGCCACGACCCAGACCATCACTCAACCAGCCACGACCCAGACCATCACGCAACCAGCCACGACCCAGACCATCACTCAACCAGCCACGACCCAGACCATCACTCAACCAGCCACGACCCAGACCCACCACGCAACCAGCTCACCACGACCCAGACCATCACACAAACCAGCCACGGACAAAGAAAAGTCAGTCATTTATTTCCACATTTCCACTGGGGTCTTCTCAGTATTTCTTACAAACTCTTATGGTCTTAGGAAGTCAGGTGTAATTCCTTGGATCACGAGCCCTTCAAAGACATCAAGGAACCTCCATCGAGGATGTTATATATATATATATATATATTATAAATTATTTATATAATATATATATATTATATATATATATATATAGTTAATTATTATATATATTATAATATATTATATATATATATATTATATATATATATATATATATATATATATATATATATATATATAATATATATATATATATATATATTTATATATATATATATATATATATATATATATATATATATATATATATATCGATTTAAATAAAAACAAATTTCCACACACTTCAATAAATTGAAATTTTATTTTCGGGACCTCTGATAAAAAAATTACATACATAATAAAAGCGTTGCAAGTTAATAGTAAAATAATTATCTACAATAATTCACAGTGTCAAAGAAGTTAATAGAAGAAAGATACATAATAATTATGATAATGGTCCCTGTTGTTGATAGTGTGACGTCAGGTTGTGAGAGTGAAGATGGCCACTGACACACCAGTCAATCCTCTCTTAGTTTCTGCTAACACCAGCTCTACCTTTGATGGTTTTCAGTCTGCTGCAGTGCTAGTACCTCCCAGGATAAGTGAGGCTGTTAGTAATGAAGAAGGTGAGTGAGAGAATGTGACGAGTGAACGTGACGAGTGAAGGTGACGTAGCTTAATACTGAAGGTGATGCAACATATTGTGTCTTGTGCTTTACTACCCTGGAGGTTGTTGTTTGTTATGTTGCTGCTACCCTGGAGGTTATTGTTTGTTATGTTGCTGCTACCCTGGAGGTTATTGTTTGTTATGTTGCTGCTACCCTGGAGGTTATTGCTACTTATGTTGCTGCTAACCTGGAGGTTATTGTTTGTTATGTTGCTGCTAACCTGGAGGTTATTGTTTGTTATGTTGCTGCTAACCTGGAGGTTATTGTTTGTTATGTTGCTGCTAACCTGGAGGTTATTGTTTGTTATGTTGCTGCTAACCTGGAGGTTATTGTTTGTTATGTTGCTGCTACCCTGGAGGTTATTGTTTGTTATGTTGCTGCTACCCTGGAGGTTATTGTTTGTTATGTTGCTGCTACCCTGGAGGTTATTGTTTGTTATGTTGCTGCTACCCTGGAGGTTATTGTTTTGTTATGTTGCTGCTACCCTGGAGGTTATTGTTTGTTATGTTGCTGCTACCCTGGAGGTTATTGTTTGTTATGTTGCTGCTAACCTGGAGGTTATTGTTTGTTATGTTGCTGCTACCCTGGAGGTTATTGTTTGTTATGTTGCTGCTACCCTGGAGGTTATTGTTTGTTATGTTGCTGCTACCCTGGAGGTTATTGTTTGTTATGTTGCTGCTACCCTGGAGGTTATTGTTTGTTATGTTGCTGCTAACCTGGAGGTTATTGTTATTCTGCTACTGGAGTTATTGTTTTGCTGCTAACCTGGAGGTTATTGTTTGTTATGTTTGCTGCTAACCTGGAGGTTATTGTTGTTATGTTGCTGCTACCTGGAGGTTATTGTTGTTATGTTGCTGCTACCCTGGAGGTTATTGTGTATTGCTGCTCTGGAGGTTATTGTTGTTATGTTGCTGCTACCCTGGAGGTTATTGTTTGTTATGTTGCTGCTACCCTGGAGGTTATTGTTTGTTATGTTGCTGCTACCCTGGAGGTTATTGTTTGTTATGTTGCTGCTACCCTGGAGGTTATTGTTTGTTATGTTGCTGCTACCCTGGAGGTTATTGTTTGTTATGTTGCTGCTACCCTGGAGGTTATTGTTTGTTATGTTGCTGCTACCCTGGAGGTTATTGTTTGTTATGTTGCTGCTACCCTGGAGGTTATTGTTTGTTATGTTGCTGCTACCCTGGAGGTTATTGTTATGTTGCTGCTACCCTGGAGGTTATTGTTTGTTATGTTGCTGCTACCCTGGAGGTTATTGTTTGTTATGTTGCTGCTACCCTGGAGGTTATTGTTTTATGTTGCTGCTAACCTGGAGGTTATTGTTTGTTATGTTGCTGCTACCCTGGAGGTTATTGTTTGTTATGTTGCTGCTACCCTGGAGGTTATTGTTTGTTATGTTGCTGCTAACCTGGAGGTTATTGTTTGTTATGTTGCTGCTACCCTGGAGGTTATGTATTGTTATTTGACATGCTTACCTGGAGGTTTATATTGTTAGTTATGTTTGCTGCTACCTGGAGGTTATTGTTTGTTTATATTGCTGCTACCTGGAGGTTATTATTTGTTATGTTGCTGCTACCCTGGAGGTTATTGTTTGTTATTTTGCTGCTACCCTGGATGGTTATTGTTATGTTAATGTTGCTGCTACCCTGGAGGTTATTGTTTGTTATGTTGCTGCTACCCTGGAGGTTATTGTTTGTTATGTTGCTGCTACCCTGGAGGTTATTGTTTGTTATGTTGCTGCTACCCTGGAGGTTATTGTTTGTTATGTTGCTGCTACCCTGGAGGTTATTGTTTGTTATGTTGCTGCTACCCTGGAGGTTATTGTTTGTTATGTTGCTGCTACCCTGGAGGTTATTGTGGCTGTTGGTTATGTTGCTGCTACCCTGGAGGTTATTGTAACTGTTGGTTATGTTGCTGTTACCCTGGAGGTTATTGTGGCTGTTGGTTATGTTGCTGCTACCTGAGGTTATGTGTGTTGTTATGTTGCTGCTACCCTGGAGGTTTATTGTGGCTGTTGGTTATGTTTGCTGCTGCTACCCTGGAGGTTATTGCTGTTGGTTATGTTGCTGCTACCCTGGAGGTTATTGTGCTTGTGTTATGTTGCTGCTACCCTGGAGGTTATTGTGCTGTGTTATGTTGCTGCTACCTGGAGGTTATTGGCTGTGTTATGTTGCTGCTACCCTGGAGGTTATTGTTGTTGGTTATGTTGCTGCTACCCTGGAGGTTATTGTTTGTTATGTTGCTGCTACCATGGAGGTTATTGTGACTGTGTTATGTTGCTGCTACCCTGGAGGTTATTGTGACTGTTGGTTATATTGCTGCTACCCTGGAGGTTATTGTGACTTGGTTATGTTGCTGCTACCCTGGAGGTTATTGTGGTTGTTGGTTATGTTGCTGCTACCATGGAGGTTATTGTGACTGTGTTATGTTGCTGCTACCCTGGAGGTTATTGTGATTGTTGGTTATGTTGTTGCTACCCTGGAGGTTATTGTGGTCAGCGTGCACACCATAGAAAAAATCTGGACCCCTGCATGGCATTGTGGGACTTTGGCAAAGTAGCTTTGTTCATGGTGCCTGGCAGAAGGAGCTCTCACTCCCACTCTCTCGTGTGCGAATTTGATCTTCCTCTTCACACTAAGAATGATGGAATTGTGAGCTGTAAGACGAATTCTTATGGTTTTGAACCATATGGTAACATTGCGATATGTTACATGGTACCATTCGACAATGGTGCTTACCTGTTACAGTAGTTCATTGGTACAATTGTATCATATGGTACAATGGTAGCATATGGACAATTCCATATGGTATCATTGTACCATATGGTACATTTGTATCAATGGTACATGGGTACAGGGACCCTATGGATACATAGTACTCTGGTCTGACTTATTGAGGTTATCTGTAGGTTCCCAAACAATGCTGCTAAGTATGATTTCTATGTAACTTTATTTGGTATAACTAATAAACTTACTTATGATGCCACCATGCACTTTGGAGTAAGTGTTATTTCAGTGTGTACGAATATACAATTACTTAGAGGTATATAATAGCAGCATCGTATAACAATCCTAGGTATAACCAAAAAAGTCACTGCGACTTATTTCCATAGTATCCCTGTATCTGTACCATATGGTGTCCTGTACTGTATGGTACCCTGTGCCATATGGTACCTGTACCATATGGTACCCTGCACCATATGTTATCCTGTACTGCATGGTACCCTATACCATATAGTACAATATACCATATGGTACCCTGTAACATATGATACCGTGTACCATATGGTCAATAGGTGTTGGTGGCATGAGACACCAGCCAAGACTGAGTGGCGACGCAAGCTAGATACTGACTCTGCAGTTTCCGAGACAAAGTGGTTTGTCATCCACCTCAAGGAACATGTCAAGTTCCTGTAAACTTGTAAATATATAATAGAACAATAATATACAACATTTTTGCATATTTTTGTTGTAAACAGCTATTGTAAACAAAATAATGAAAATATTAGCGTGTTTATTGTGTTGAATACAACAGTACCATATAGTGTTGAGAAATGGGATTACCAGCTAAGTTTAAATATAGGGAAACTTAACTTAGAAAGACAGCTCATCGCCTGCACAGCCGCTCCTGCAGACGAGGTCTTGAGAAGCTGTCGAAGTCATCTCTCAACGGGCTGTAAATGAGTTATAATTTGTAAGATTATAAATTACCCCTTGGGGGTGTTATGTCAGCATATTTCATTCACTGATGGCTGACAAACTTACGTGTGTGGACTCAAAGGTCCGCATATCACCGGGGTTTATGATAAGTGACTAACTCACGATTTTATACTCAACTGCGCAGTCAATAGTAGCACATCACGAGTTAGAACACTTACCTGGGTATATGTATCTGACCCGTAATTACGCCCGGATATCCTTGAAGAATGTCGCACTACACTCTGTTGGATCGCAACACTCGTTGTTACACTGTTCATCAATAATTGTTCACACAATATCACTGAAGAAGCTGACCGCACTTCTCTGTAAGTGTTTATTGTGTTTTGTGAGACACTTTGTTCACATTAATGCACAGATCGTTCTTTGTTGGTTATCCTGGCATCAGTGTCACTCGCAGTAGAGTCAAAAGTAATCTGAAGACGCCACAACGCCCCATGCCGTCACTGCCCCCAGCACAAAGGAAAAGCTGACCTTGTACTTTTGCTTCCTTGCCACTTCCTCGATGAAGCAAAGCAGAATGTTTGTTTCTTGCTGTCTTAAGCGTAGACAAAAATGTCCACTATCTTCACCATGATAATAAAGTGGGAGCAGGATTTTCCTTAATTGTCCTGCTAAGGTAAGAGATGTACTGTCTCTTATAAAAAATACACACTGCAACACTGGACTGCAAGGAGCAGCGGTTGCTTGACCACGTCGCATACTCGTACTGCATCTGCGATCCAGGCCATGGGAAAACCTGGGTAGCCACAGCCACTCAAGAGGAGAGGTTTTTTAGTGCCAGGAAGGAAAAAAAACTGGCAGGAAATGGCAGAAATCGTACACCAAATCCAGTCATTCCTGTAGTGGAACCACAGTCGATGGCCTCCACTCCAAACCAACAGATACAGATACTAATGCCGGAAAAAAAAATCCCCCCCAGTACCAACAATACCACCAGTCCGATAACATTCTTCTTTGCAAATATACAGGGTCTAAAGCCAGCAACAAACAACAAAATACCTTTCATCCGTGGACTGCTTGCAGAGGCAAAGGCAATGTTCGCAGCTTTCACTGAGACCCACATAAAGGATCACTTGGACAACGAAAATATGGTCCCAGGTTACAACCCTAACAATGTGACAGAGTGAACAGGCAAAAGGGGGGGGGGGGTTGGCCTGTACATTGCAGAGTCACTTGTTTGCACAGAACTGCTTAATGCCTCAAATGATGTAGTGGAAGTTTTAGCAGTAAAGGTCGAGA